GATGTCGACGATAGAACATTGCCAAGTACACAACGATACCTCCAAGTAGGCCGCCCTCGAAGAGTCCAAGAAGCAATCGACAGATCACAAGACCTGCGAAGGATTTTGTGAAGCCAAGAAACGTGCTTACGATGCCCCAGCAAGTGATGAGAGTTGGCAGATAGACGCCGGCTCGGACTTTCTTCACAATCCAGTTGCTCGGAACATCGACGAGGATGTACGGGATGTAGAAGACCAACAATGCAACATTGAACTTCGTGCCAGTTACCATATCGAGGTCCTCCAAAAGGCCGTCGATCTTGGCATTCCCAATATTGCTTCTATCGATAAACGCGAAAAGCCTGGGTAAAATCAGTTAGCTTCTGGCACTGTATGGGTTCCAATCCAGGCTCGAGTCTTACCAAATGCCGAAAAGCCAAGGAATGATGTGAACGTCAAACTTGCGATCGAGACGTTTGCTTAAAGTAGGGTCTATTTTGTAGTGGACCTGGGAATGACGGATGCTCTCTACATGGCTCCCTTCGGGCTTGCTATCCTCGAAGGCACGATGGGTCTCCGGACCATGGTCAACGGCTGTTCCACGTTCTTTGGACTTGAAAAACATTTTGGGCCCTCAATCCAAGCCAAAGACGGAAGTAAGATTGTTGGGCAGCGTCGGGTCAAACAAAGTTTTGAAGATGATATGTTCAGGAGAGCATGCTAGCTATCCAGACATGAAGCTCGACGGTCAAGTCACAGCAGCAACATGGGCAACACGTTCGGGGCATTTATCATTCCCAAGAACGCTAGGCATCTCTCACTCGCACACCCGACTATGACCAGAGACGCTAAATCTCCCCCACAAAGCTTATCCGATGGGTGAGCACTTCGTCACCACCCCATGGGATTGATGTGCGGGGAAAGCCAGGGTTGACATTCGAATAGCCATCTCGAAAGATTGAGAAACCGAAGGAACTTCTACGTTATGGCACTAAACGAACCGCTATAGGCCCCGCAGCTTGCTTATCGGGATTCAGGTTGGGGAACATTGCCCGGCACAGTATAGCGTTGTCGACGGCATCTCATCAGACCAGCCGGCTGGCCACAATAGGCAAACCGTAAATCAAATGGCGATACCTGCAGGTAGGCAGTTTGAGAAGAGCGACGGATGACAATCAACAGTTTTTGTCTAATGTCTGAGAATAATGTAATGTATCACCACGTCGTTTCAGAGTAGAGTTATCGATGTTCACAGCAATAAATCCTTCCAAGCCCGTCATGGCTTGACTCCTAGTTCCTCGAAAATGGCCTCATTATGCTCGCCTAGCTCAGGTACTCTTTCCATTCTTGATGCCTCTACCGAAGCAAAACCAGGGGGGATGAGTGCAGGAATCGTGCCGCCTGGTGTCTCGACGTCGGTCCACCTGCCTCTCGCTCGCAGTTGTGGGTGTTCCCATACGCCTTGCATGTCATTGATATTGGCATTGGCAATAGACGCAGAATCCAGCTTTTTCAGAACCTCTTCAGCCGAGAACTTTGCGAACTGCTTAGAAATGATTTCCTTCAGCTCATCTCGGTTCTTGACGCGAAGCGTGTTGCTCACGAAGCGCGGGTCTTTGGCCAACGCTTCATCGCCCAGGACAGTCCGGCAAAGATTGGTCCATTCCCTCTCGTTTTGCACACCTAGCATGACAGAGCCGCCGCCGCCAGTCTCAAAAGGACCGTAGGGATATATGGAGGCATGAGCTGCCCCAGACCGAGCGAGACCGGGAGCCCCGTTGTAAGTGTAGTACAGTGGGAAGTTCATCCACTCAACCATGCTTTCGAGCATGGAAATATCTATCCGAGTGCCTTTGCCCGTCTTGCCACGCTTGATCACTGCGGCCAGAATGTTGGCATAGGCATACATGCCGGCAGAGATGTCAGCAATGGAGATGCCTGCTTTCGCTAGATCCGGGCCGTTCCCTGTGACGGAGAGAAAGCCTGCTTCGCTCTGCACGAGAAGATCGTAGGCTTTCTTGTCTCTATACGGCCCATCCGAACCGTATCCTGAGATGTCACAGACAATCAGAGACGGATGGGTATCTTTCAGGGTGTTATAACCAAGGCCTAATCTTTCGGTGGCGCCAGGTGCCAGGTTTTGAACCAAGACGTCTGATTTGGCAAGGAGCTTCTTCAGCACCTCAAAGTCTTTTGGTTTCTTCAGATCTAAAGCCAAACTCTCCTTTGAGCGGTTTGCCCAGACAAAGTGGGAGGCCATACCGTTGACGCGAGTGTCATAAGCCCTAGCAAAATCGCCAACTCCGGGTCGCTCGATTTTGATGACTCGAGCACCCATGTCCGCCAGCTGACGGGTGCAGAATGGCGCAGCAATGGCATGTTCAAGGCTGACGACAGTGACACTCTCCAAAGGCAGTGGGTCTCTCTTCAGTTTGAGAGATGAAGAAGTTACCATAGGTCGATGCTGCGATCCAGTGTGTGTGGAGGGTGTCTGTAAAGAGATGTAGTTGAGACATCGTGAACTCTGCTTTGGTGTTGTGAATGGCCTTGACAACGTAGTGCCGTTCGGGAATCGAGAGGCTAATACCGAGAAAACAGCCCGGGGTGAAGACATGGTAGACAAGGGTACACGAGAGAGAACGGTTGATGTCGAAGTCGGCGATTAAAGCTTCTGATGATCTAATGAGATTGCCGGTGGTGGAAACTTGGCTTCAATCTCGAAGTTTCAATCATAACATGATATGGAGACTCAACGGCTTTTTAGCACTTCCATACGATGGCATGAATGTAATCATCACTCCGTACTGGCCTCGGCTCGAATTCTTGGAGATGCGCAACCAGATCATGGGGTAGTCAAAGCGTACGTAGCGCTGGTGCGTGCAGCGTCGGTTTCTTCAACCCAAGTCGGCTTTATGCAACCCCAGCCCAAGCGTCGATCACTTCTTAGTGTCGTCATTTTCTAGCTCGCCTGGAAGACAGTAGCCGGGCTTCGGGTCTATTTGCCGGACTTGAGCTAACCTTTAGTTGCCTTCATGCTTCGATATTCATGAATCGGCCTGGATGAGAAGACAATAATACCTTGAGCGCTGATCATACGTGCTCTCTTCAACCACACAGAGCTCAGCAGATTCTCACTTAATCTTCGTCAATCATCATTATGTCAGCCTCTTTGTCACGAAATCTTTGGCGCATTGCGCGACCAGCCATCAAGACCGCGGGAGTCCTTCGCCGGGCACCGATAACCTCAAGACATGGCTTGGCAGCATTCTCAACATCCTCATCAAGGAGGATCATGGAAACCACGGGGTTTACCGAGAATCAATTGACTGTTCGAGAGGCAGTCAGTCAAGTCTGCTCAGAGTTTCCCAATACCTATTGGCAAGAACACGATCAGAACGAGCAAGACCCCAAAGAGTTTCACGCTGCTCTCGCAAAGGACGGCTGGCTTGGCATTGCCTTGCCTGAGTCCCTCGGCGGCTCTGGCCTAGGCATCTCTGAAGCGACAATGATGATGCAGACCATCACCGAGTCCGGTGCCGGCATGGCTGGTGCGCAGTCCATTCATGCCAACGTCTATGCTACACAACCGCTGGCAAAATTCGGAACTCAGGAGCAGCTCGAGAGTACGATCCCCAAGATCATTTCCGGGCAGTGGCGTACGTGTTTCGGGGTCACAGAGCCCAACTCTGGCCTCGATACTTTGCGCCTGGCCACAACAGCAAAGAAGCAGACCGATGGATCGTACCTCGTCACTGGCCAGAAAATCTGGATTACATGCGCTCAGGTAGCATCCAAGATGATTCTGCTTGCGCGCACGAAAGCCTACGAGGACTGCAAGAAGCCGAGCGAGGGTCTATCGCTCTTCTGCATCGATATTGACAAATCACAATCTGGCCTAGACATGCGAAAGATCAAGAAGATGGGGGGCCGCGCCGTCGATGCCAACGAAGTATTCTTCGACAACTACCATATCCCCGCGAGCTCACTCATTGGCCAAGAAGGCCAGGGTTTCAAAATCATACTCCACGGAATGAACGCTGAAAGGTGTCTTCTCGCTGGCGAGGCTCTCGGCCTAGGCTACGCAGCGCTCACAAAGGCCTCAGAGTACGCGCGTGATCGCGTTGTATTCAAGAGGCCAATTGGGCAGAATCAGGCCATTGCGCATCCCCTAGCGGATGCATACATGAAGTTAGAGGCGGCGAAGCTTGCAACATATCACGCCGCTCGGCTATACGATGCCAGCAAGGAGGACTCTTCTATTCGTCAAGACCAGGTTGGAGTTGCGGCTAATAGCGCAAAGTACATGGCTGCTGAAGCGGCTTTCACGGCATGCGAAAGGGCGGTGCTTACACACGGGGGGATGGGCTATGCCGCAGAGTATGATGTCGAGAGGTATCTACGCGAGATCTTTGTCCCAAGGATCGCGCCTGTATCTCGCGAGATGATTTTGTCGTACATTAGCGAGAAGGTCCTGCAACTTCCTCGCAGCTATTAGAGTAGAACAGAGTATAGATACATGAAATAATTGAATCTTTACCCACCACAAGGGAGGCACTTAGGGAGCACAATCTGCATACACTGTAGAGGGTGTTTCTCCTTTCTCAAAACGTCAAGTTCGTGCGCTCGGTTTATCGAAAGACTTGTTAGCTAATTCGAGCACTGGGTAGACGTATTAATCAATTACACTCACCGCCGCTTTTCCCTCTTAGCTGTAGTGCTCCCGGTTCTCGGTCAGCTCGGTCAATACCGGAGACATCGGTCAAGGAGACCCATTTGGTGAGGAGGTCCACGGAAGAAGAAGCCGAGACGTCAAAGCGTTGCCTGTGGAAAAAACAGTGCAATTGAACCGACACTGTACGGAGAGGCTGGTTGCGCAAAGATATTATCCATGTTGTTCCCGTCGCAGGCCCAGAGCACCACCTATCTGCGCCTTAATTCCTGATATTCGAGGGACGTCTGAATGGAGTTCTGATGTCCTGCTCATAGTATCTACTGCGGCATGCCAAGCACCAGTGCCTACAATGCCGACAGAGGGTTCGAAGAAACCGCGCGCGAAGCACGCGTGTAGGGAGTGCAACTCGCGACGCATCCGCTGCAATGTCACCGAGCGCCACCCTTGTTCGAACTGCGAGACTGCGCAGGCGACTTGCGAAGTCATCCCGTCGCGAAGAGGCCGGTGAGCCTCTCCTGTTCTTCTCCACCCCGATATCCCCGAGTCGGCAAATACTAACTTGGCCGGTCTAGGTATCTACGGAAGTCCAAGAGGCAGAAGCAGACGGAAGAGGCCGCGTCGGCGACCCCAGAGCCCGCTGCCCCGGCCGTGTCGTCCGCGCTCACCGCTGATGTCGCCGCGACGCTTGCTTCTATGAGTACCGTGTCTCCGTCGCATGGACTTCCGAGCTCCTCTGGAATATCGCAGACTCCTTTTCACGCCGATACGCCTGCTTCGTGCCATTCCTCTGGGACTACGGGCGGTAGCCGGTTCTTTGGAGAGTCGAATTTCATCACTCTTGTTCCTGGAGCATCAGGGCCCGGCAATGAGGCTGCGACTAGTGATGGGGTGTTGAAGGGTCGTCTCACCTTTCCAGTGCCGCAGACGCCGCAATCTCATGACCTGGCTACTTCACCTGCCAGTGTGCCTTCCATGAGCTCTGCGACAGAGCGATATCTTCGGGATGAGGGAGCGCTCACCTTCCCCGACATGCAGAGCTGTCTTCCAGCTTTACATGCTTACTTCACTTGGTTCCACCCTTGCTTTCCCATTCTTGACCGCGCCGATATCGCCAGGCGGCTCGTGACGATGGATATTTCACCGCTTTTGTTGCAAGCAATGCTTTTCATCGGTTCGACCTACTGCGACGAGGCAACAATTCTTGGCATGGGGTTCAAAGATCGGTCTGAGGCTAAGAACCTGACATACTCTCGCGCGCGTGTTTTGTTTCATGCCAACTGGGAGAAAGACGAGTTTACTCTTATTCAGTCACTGTTTCTATGCAGCTTCTGGAGGGGTGGACCGACGGATTGGAGAGACGTGAGGTACTGGCTAGGGGCCGTGTTAACCCTCGCGCAGACTCATGGCCTTCATCGCTCGTAAGTCCTTCTGAGTTCTGTTGACTCTTCCATGAGCTTGACTAAACATGTGCACAGAACTCGATTCATCACGAAGGATCCACATTTCGCTCGGATGAGACGTAGAGTCTGGTGGTCAATCTACGTAAGTTTCTAGTCCCTGTTTGATCATGACTTCTTATCTCGTCGTGCGTCCTGTAGCTCGTTACTCACATACAATAGGTCCGTGAACGGCAAGCGGCTGTGTCACTGGGACTACCTTGTCGCATCCGCGATGAGGATTGTGACATTGAGCCGCTGACTTCGACTGATCTAGAGGATGATGCTGACGAACAGCGAGCAACTGGGTTTGGTGCACCGAAATCAGAGCACATTCATTATGCTATCAAGATGATTGACATCGCTCGTCTTCGTGAGTCTAAATTCTTCATGCCGAAACCAACTCTGGGTACCAGCTTGACTGACCCATCTATAGTCGGGAGAATCATGGACACCCACTTTGCGCCTGGTCGGGGACCACCAGCACCAACGGAAGTTCGTGAATTGAAGCAACAGCTCGAGGATTGGAAGCAAAGTCTACCAGATGAGATGCGTAGAGGCCCTGATGATGGGCAGTCTTCAGTCTTGACCTGCCTAATCCACCTTGCCTACAAGTAAGTTGAACCCAGTCTTTTCAGTGCTGTACTGAATAAGCAAGTATCGTTCCATGACAAAGGCTAACATGTGTCTAACTAAGCCATCTCCGTATCCTTGTGCACCGAAACGGATGGCTGCGGAATAGAGACCAGGAGGATAAGAGCGCAGCTCTCGCCGCCGCCTGTCGCATCAGTCGCATCGCCGAAGACATGCTCGCACAAAAGACCTTGCAATACGGCCAAATGCACCTGTGAGAGCCCCAACGCTACGGAAAATTTGATGCCTCGACTAACTCTTCTAGACTTACTAGCCTCTTTGCCGCTTTTTGCATACATGCAATTGATATCAAGTCTGCGGATGGCATCAGTCGCCGATTAGCCGAGCATAGAGCCCAGATGTGTCTTCTTGGCCTCAAAGAAATTCAAAAGTACTGGCGTATCAACAACAATGTGCTTGACCTCTTCCTGCAATACCTCGACGAATCAATAGCGAAGAGACTTAACGGCGACAGCACTGAATTTGCACCGTCCAGCGCACTACCCAGCTCTGTCACGGGTCTGGAGCCGTTCAACGACGCAGGCACGAGCCCCCCGGTAACTCTACTACAAGATGCTCTTCAGCAAGCCAGACCCGACGCAATGGAAGATCAATACTTCAGCCTCATGCGCACAAATTGGGAAGGCGAAGATGCCCTAGAAGATCTCGGGCTATTCCTGGATCCTCAACTTTACGCCAATGGGCCAATGCAGGTAGAGGGGCTGAACTTTCTGCAGCGTTGCTTGTAAAGACGACAGAGAAAGCAGCAGTCTCTCTATGAAGTCTAAGGCCTGTAACGGGAGGTGAATTCGCCAGGGAAGAAGATCCCTCGAAGCCCGGCATAAGTCGCCGTAGAAAGGACAGGCTAAATTCTTACTCAGCATCATTTCGGCTTCTTCTGCCGAGCACAGTCACTGTCCGGCTTGTTGCAATCGAACTCTAAGAAGCCGACAGCATATAGCCGGGCGGCGCGGCAACCCCACTGACCGACGCCTGCTCGGACCATTCCTCATGCGGCGAAGTAGAGGGCTTGGGGTTCATCTGCCAGCAACTGCATCGGCCTTAACATTCTGGAGCTCTTTGATTACCAGCTCGATGCAATACTTTGCTATCAGAGTCTTTGACAAAAGGCACGTGCTGGAAACATCTAACAAACAGAGACTCCAGCTGCCCGCGAGTCCTGAGTGATCATTTATACACACTCAAGATCCTCCAAGTCTCAACTCACTGCGTTCACAATGGTGTCCCTGGTTCATCAAGTACGACCGGCCCTGCGTCAATGCACCGCTCGTTCACAGCGATCCATCGCAACCAATGCAACAGATGCAGCCTCTCAGCTTCTCGACACATTTGCTGGTAAGGATGTCGTCCGCAAGCAATTATTCGACTCGAATCAACTTCAACGTCTTAGCTTGACCCTCAACCGGAAAGAGCTGCACCCTGGCGTTGATGTTTCTTCAGAAGCACCCGCTCAAGGCACGCCCCTGCCCCCGGGCTACCACCTTGTTTACTTCACCCCCACTGGCGTCGAGAGCGAACTCGGAATGGACGGCACGGATAAGACTTTCAACGCGCCGGCACCGTTTACGCGGCGGATGTGGGCTGGGGGGAAGATGCAATTTGTTGAGGGAACCTCTCTCAAGGTTGGAGAGGTAGTTGAAGAGCGGACGAGACTAGTCGGAGCGACGCCGAAGAAAAGCAAAAGCGGAGATGAGATGGTTTTGGTAGATGTCGAGAAGGAATTTTATGGGCGCGATGGGCTAGTTGTTAAAGACCAGAGGTAAGTCCTGGACATTGCATTCCCATGCACAGGTTGCGAGACTAATGTATGCTCAGATCGTGGATATTTCGGCCAGAAGTCGACTTGTCGCTGGCCGCGAAAACAGCGCCACCGCGTAGTGAAAGACCACCTGCTTTCGGACCTTCTACCATCACCAACCAACCGAGTGCAGAAGGAAGCATAATTCGTCACTTCCGATGGTCACCTGTTGGCCTCTTCAGGTTTTCTGCCCTGACCTTCAATGGTCATATGATCCACTACAACGAGCCCTGGACGAAGGACATCGAGCGCCATCCCGAGGTTGTGGTTCATGGGCCTTTGAATCTGATTAACATGCTGGATTATTGGAGAGACGTGTACGGCAAGGACGGCAGGGAAGCACGGCAGGTTACCTATCGAGCTATGTCTCCTCTCTACGCCGGCGACAAGTACACGCTTCGAACAGCTGTTGCGGAGAATGACAAGCGGAACGAGTTATTCATCGAAAAGGGCAATGTTGTTTGCATGAAAGGAGAGATCATTGGCAGCTGATTGGGACCCGAACACTACCGTTTGATTCATTGCTTCAAAGCAGTACCTTCGATCGGTGTCTCAATGTTGTAGTAATTACCTACACATGTAGCTGCGAGCTCAATATTACGACCTCCTCATTGTCTCACCCCAGACTTCAAGACTCGAGCCATAAAGATGTATCCTGACACCAAAAACGAGCCAAGCATCCAGACCAGAGAACCAAGCCATCCATCCAAGTTTATCATCTTGAACAATCGTTAGTCAAATCTCTCAGACAAAACGCTTGGCTCAAAATCAGTAGACTCACAGGCACACTGGTTCCTCCGCTCTTGCGGACCCATGGAAACGCTCGGTCGATGACTCTACGCTCATACTGACTGCATGCCACACTGATATCTTTTGTCGATGGTCGGACACCAGAATCAGCCTTTTCTTTGAGGGCGAGTATGTGAGATAGTGCGTCGGCGCAATCGTGGAGAGCTTGATTGCCTCCCATCCCCCTAGCATGGCACGTCGTGTCAGTACAACGGGATGGCTTGTCTGTAACAGAGTCCAACGAACCTATTAGGCTGCATTGCATGCATCGCGTCCCCAATCAGCCAGATTCGAGGGTGTCCCTCGTCGCCAGTTGCTCGTTTGACGTTGTTCCGCCACGTTTTGGCAAGTCTGTTGCTTGCTCGCATGCGTGCTACAGTAACGAGGTCTCTGTTCTTGCCGTCGAAACCTGTCGTCAACATCGTTCGACTACACACTAATGAGTCAGGGATAGCCAGCTGAGGAACATGCTATTGGCTCACTATTCGGGTGCCCAGTCTCGGGTTGCATCGAGACATATTCCCAAGGGATCTTCCACCTTGTTCCAGTCATCGGTCGGCATTTTGTCCCTGGGAATCAAAACGCCCCAGTAATAGGAGGCATCCCTTGTGTTATATCTAGCGCCATCCCCGGCTTTCTGAGTCGCCTCGTCCGCAGCGGGTAGGAACACTAAGAGCTAGAATGTCAGCTTTCGGCGTGTATCTTGTTGTACCATGGCGTGATAATCGATCAGATTTGACTTACACGCGTAGAACATGGACACACCACCTGCAAATACCATGAGTGGACTTTCGGTCAAACGCTTAGGCAGCTTCTCCGTCCAATCCTCGGGCAGAGGGCCTTTGCTGAGAATCATGGCATGGCTGTCAATTGGCACAATATTCCGAGCTCCCACTTGCTTGTTGATCTGTAGATGCCCTCATCAGCAAATCTTCCAAGTCTCTAGGACGACTATTTCCAATCTTGCATAATCTTACCCTTGACCCGCTTCCATCTGCTCCAACAAGAATATCGCAAGTATCAGTAGTGCCGTCGGCGAAATGAACCCTCACATTTTCTTGTCCATCGTTGCTTTGGAAAACTTCATACCCCTCAAATGCTTTTTCGAACCGGATGATGCCGCTTTCCTGCAAGGGAGCAGCTAGGATATCCCGAAGCACGACGCGATTGATAGCGGAAGACGCACTATATGATGGAATCTTGCCCAAGTCAAGCACAGTCTGGAATCCCGTATTCATCAAGGTCGGTGCAGTGAGACCTGTGGAAGACATTTGACTGAATTGCGACTTGATGGCCGCAATGTCTGTCGGTTTCAGACAAGCATTGAAACCTGTCATGGCGCTGTCGCCCAATCGTATCTGAAATCCCTCTCTTTTGGCATCTTCAGCGTCACGTTCGTAGACGGTCACATTAATGCCGTGGTTGAAGAGACCGTTTGCGAGTAGTGAGCCAGCGAGACCGCCACCTACAATAATTACTTTGAAGGGCACAGTCATGATGAGAAGTAGTTGATTGTCAATTCCCAGAATGTTACAACATGTAGAGACTGGGAGGCTGTAATGGTGACCTTTTCGTGGATTAAATCATCTTGAAGCACTCCAAGGTAAGCGTCCTCTTGCCCGGTCCTCTAGCAATTTGATGTCAGCAACTTGTGAGTAGAACCTCTTGCACGTGAGTTGAGTTTCGGTAAACGAACACGGCATTGCGTACGGCTTGTCTACTTGATTACATATTCACTGAGAAGAAGTCATTGTAATGTCTCATGCCGCTAAAGCAAGTCCCCCTCCCCCACCGTCGGATGTCATGCCAACTCCACACGGGTCCGTGAAGGGGTACGTGGCCGCCTTCCGACTGGCTCGGTGTTCGGTGCCCGCAGCTCTCCGATGCGCCGCTTGAATAAGGTTACATGTCACAGGGCAAAACCAAACCACAATGGTCGGCCCGTTCCTATTGAGTTGCCAAACAGAACCAAAATGGACTTTCTCGCCTGGAAACTTGCTGGTTAGCCTAACCGAGTCCAACCTTCGATCATCAGGTTAGTTCAGAAAAGCGGTTTTGCGAGACCGAACTCGAGCTCTTCCACTGTTGATGAGGTCTGAGCATGGACCATGGCAGTTGCGGCGGCGGTGTTTACCCGATACGGCTTGATCGCACTATGATTTCGTCGCCCAAAGATGTCAGTCACTTAGAACGTACATACTCCATGTGCTGCCTCCCCCACCTGTTCCGAAAGATGAAACTTACCCCTCATCATGGAGAGCCCAGATCACTTTCTTGGGTTGAGATAGCCACCGGATCTGGTTCGTCGCGAACTGGGCAGCAGATCCATCGTAAGGTCGGCCGTTCAGATTGGCTCGCCCCGCGATGGTGAGGATCGCCACATCTGGGGTTGGCTCAATGCTCTTGATAATGCCCTCATAACCACCCAAATGTCCGTTCCAGAACACAGTCTGCCCGGGCCCGATAAGGAAGTTGTAGGCTAGTTGTCCGCCATCGTAGTGCGAAAACACGTTGTTCTTCCTGTCGCTGATGTACTCTGCAAAGGATTTCATTCCGTCGTCCATCTGTTCGAGCGGCATGTCTTCTTTGTTGCGCAAGAGGCCGTATTTCATCCCCATTGTAATGTCAAGGGTACAAGTATACGGTGTAGCCTCGCCTTTGTAGACTGTTCCAGTGTCAATCTCCTCTGGAATATCATGATGTCCACTTCCAGGCATCAGAGCATGTAGAGAAGGCCAAACGTGAACAGACATGACAGCTCGAGAGTGATTCGGTCTAGCTGGCATTCCGGGCGGACCATCAGCGATAGGTATTTCGCCGTCTGCCGCAGATTTACGGTCGTTCTTGGTGAACAATGGAATACGCTCTCCGCCCGCGACGGGGAAGAGCTGAAATTCGTTGACGCCCGCATCTCGGAGAAGGTTAATCGCCTCGCCGTTTGCGATAACCACAGCACCGGTCTTCTTCGCTATCTTATCCGCACCAGGCAGGCTATGGCTACTGTTTAGCCTTACACAAGCATAATCCAGAGAGAACCTAATTGACCTACTGATCGAAATGGGCATGAGATATGAAGATATAATCTGCTTCAATCACATCATTGATATCAAGATGCTTCGGTAGCACAGAGGGCCTCTCCAACCATGTATCTAGAAACAAGACCAGACCGTTGGCTCGCAGTCGAAAGGTCGTGGCGCCTAGGTTGCCGTCGATGGAGTCAGTTCACGTGCTTCTATTGACTCGGTAGAGTGCTGCTATGTTATAGACGGACCGAACCATTCGATAGTCGGCGGATCCATCGTTTCCACGCAACTGATGGAAAGGATGTAAGTATCCCAACGCAGACTGGGCGGCTTTTGCGGGAGTGCTCAAGGTATGGGAGTTGTAAAAATGGGGTAGAGGTTCCGATCTAAAGTACGGATGGGAATCACAGTCTAGAAATATGAGGTCGAAGGCGTCCGAAGTAGCATAGATGCCTAAAGTGGTAAGGTGGGAACGCTTTGCTTAGCTTATGTGTGGATGGATCATCGCATGTGCGTCAAGTCGGACTTTAATCGTCCCCGAGAACGAGACTTTGTGTCCATGCTCGGCGTTGTCCCGCGGAGCGTAAGACCCAGATTAACCATCTTGAATTCATTGTGGCTCTCGGTTATTAAGACTCTCAGTGACGACGGTGCCGAGTTGCGGGTGATCATGCCTTTGAATTGGATTTCTTGCTACCCTGCACGTGCCGGGATGTCAAACTTCTGCGGTTCTTGTCGTCCTGACAAATTGAGTTGGCGTCAATCTTAGGCAACTGAATCATGACACATCATCCAATGAGTGTTTCTTAAGTACAGCAAAAGAAGCGTAAACTCACTTCAAAATGCCAAAACAATTCATCACCCAGGGTTGTTTCGTGACATGTCAGATCTTTACCTAAGATCGGGTGTTTGTCCCAAAAAGGACAGCCAGAGAGCTAAAAAGAGGCTGAATTTCCAAGTTGTGGCATGTGTTTGTGAGAAACCTTATTACTCGATCACTGCTCTGTATGTAAGATGGTAACCGAACAGCAACTCAACGACATGCGGAAACAAGCTGATGTCACCTGCTGTGTCTTCTGCTCAGGGCGCTGCTGGCTATGTCGAGAGTCATGCAGAACACTGTGCTGGTAGTGGCTTATATTCCTCGCGGCTTCGAAAAGGGCTTCCATCCATCCTTACTTCTATTATTGCCCAGCAAAATTTCATTGTCAGTGAGACTTTCCAACAGCACCTTACGCATTGCTCCGACTCCAGCCAAACCCAGTGCTACACGGCTACCGTCATAGTATCGCCATCGGATGACTCCAAGCCCGAGGACGTGTAAACCCACTGCCGGCAGTATCGTCACTGACATTTGATACGCGTTCGCTCACCATCTCGCGGAATAACTCCCAAAGTTGGACATATAGCTCGACATGGGTTTCCGAGCCCTGGTCAGATGAATGCCCATATGTGCATATTATGTTGCGTCTTAGTCGACATCAGAAAGAGATTCGAGTCATTGGAGGTCACAGGCATAAGCTATTCCAGCGAGAAAGGGACCAGATAATTTGCTAGCCGAGAAGCCGAATCAGCTCTCAATTATGGGGAATTTCACAACGATCGAGTAAATATTCAACAGCTTGCTATAGGGAACGTGTCAGATAATAGCCGACGGTATGCCTCCCGCAAAATTCGACC